AAAAAAAAAAAAAAACTCGAGTTTATCTTGTAAACTTTCTTGGGTAGTATAAGCCCGTTAGAATAAAAGGATTGATCCGCTAGAATATTTAATTTAATTAATTAGTAAATATAACTTTCAAGATAACATTTTGGATCTAAAAGATGGTTAAAAAAAAAAAAATAGAGTGTATTTTGTAAGCACAACTAACTAATAGTTTATTTAGTTAACTTAGAGTTTATCTTATAAATTTTTTTGGGTAGTGAAATGAGCCTGTTGAAATTTTTATTTCAACTGATTTATCAACTAATTTAAATCAAACGTTATTATAATATCAACTAGTTTTTCAACCATAAGTCACAACCTATAAACTATCGGTTATAAGCTCGTAATTTACATATAAGCTATTAACCTATGTTTACCAAACATAACTTTAATGGTCTTGTTTGGAACTTAACAGATCGACATTAGTTTCTTCAGTTAGTTGATAATTGAAAGCTACTTGAATTATAAGATTTAACACGTTTGAATTAGATGATTACGCAGAGTGTTTAGTGAATAATTAGTTGTCTGATATGTAAAAACAACTAAACTTAAAATCAGAATTTGAGGTTCTATCCCAGAAGATTGATATTTTGAATGTTTTCAAAATTATAGTTTTTTATTACAAGAGTTATTACCATACCAAATAATAAATTATGAGACTCTGACGGGTAAAACATCTAACTAAGTTACTCATGTTGATCATTGAATTTGATCAATCCAAAACACTAATTAAGTGCCAATAATTAGGTGGTTAAACTATTATAGTTCGGTGTTTAACAATGAATCTATGAAAAGGCGAATAATATGGAGGTCGGGTACTTTTCGTTCTTAAGGTTGGATCACCGGTGTTTAACGTTGTATTAAATGAGGTAATATTTGTCTTAGTTACTTGAATTTTCTGAACCTTTTTTACAATGGATTCCTAAGACTATTTATAGTAAGATGGCTCGATTATTGTTTATCGAGATGTACAATTGTGCATTAAATGGAAATGACAAGCATTAAATGTTGCACATGACCTTGAAGGCGGACAAACTTCTGTCATGATTGTCTCATTTTAATGATGCATAGGCAAGTTCTCATTATTTTAAGCATTTATGTCGCCTTAGTGTGATCGTCTCGGGCCCTGACACATGAGTTTTTCCCGATTTTAGCCAAGTCTTGAGCTCGGCTACTCCATCCAGCAGTAGTTTGGCCGGGTCTTTCATTAGGTTGCACGATCGTACGACCTTCTATGTTATGCTCGTTTGGTCGATCTTTCGACTAGTATTACCTCCATGTTGAAGCCCTTTCACCTGGTCAGTGAGGACCCGAGTTCTACCTGACAATGACCCGAATTGTTGATGTCCTCCTCGACCTGTCTGATACCTCCTCGGCGCTGGCCGATCCTTCGACCGGTTGTCTTTCCAGGTCGAGCTTCTCCATGATCGATCTCGGCCTCTGCACGTCCTTATTTCTGGCATTCGTCATTCCTTCACGGTATACGGACTCGATAATGTCATTTAACTCTGAATTCTTGCAGCTCAACTCGAATATCAACAACTCTCGGGCCTTAGATTTGAGCTCAAACAAATTCGAAAGAAGGTCAATATTCCACTTGTGGAATAACTAATTACTTATCAACAGTGGCGAAGCTACATGCTAATGTAGGGGTCAACTGACCCCTATAGATTTCAAAATTTTTAGTATAAAATACTGTTCAAACACTATTTACT